TTGTTCCTTTGATCAGAATGAAGTGACCCTCCTTGTCTCTTCTGATTAGTTTTACTTTGAAGTCTATTTTGTCAGATATTAGAATTGCAACCCCTGCTTGTTTCTTAGTACCATTTGCTTATAATATTCTTTTCCATCCTTTCACTTGAAGGTAGTACCTGTCCTTGAAGGTGAGATGGGTTTCTTGCAGACAGCAAAAAGATGGATTTTCTTTCTTAATCTATTCACTTAATTTGTGTCTTTTGACTGGGGAGTTCAGTCCTTTGATATTTAAGGTTATTTTTGAAAGATATGTATTAGTTGCTGTCATTTTGATTGCTGTTTGTGTTCTTTGTCTAATTTTGTATTTCCTCAATTATACCTTTATTTATTTTCTTTTGTTGCCCCTGGGATATAGGTGTTCCTTTCTCTGCTCTTTGTATTGTTTCAAGTAGTCTTTGAAGGGCTGGTTTCGTGGACATGTATTCTCTCAGGCTATTGGTGTCATGGAAGATTTTTCTTTCCCCCTCAACTATAATAAACATTTTTGCTGGGTAAAGTATTTTGGGCTGACATCTATTGTCCTGTAGAATTGGAAATACCTTGGTCCAGGCTCTTCTGGCTTTCATCGTTTGCATTCGTAACTCAGCTGTAATTCTGATAAGTCAGCTGTAATTCTGATGGGCTTTCCTTTGTATGTGACTTGTTTTTCTTTTGCTGCTTTCAGTATTCTTTGTTCTGTACATTTAGTGTTTTTACTATGATATGTCATGGGGAGTTTCTTTTCTGATTCTATTTGGTGTTCTATGTGCTTCCTGTATTTATATGAGGATGTCTTTCCTTAATTTCAGGAAATTTTTTTTCTACAATCCTGTTTAAGATCTAGTCAATACCATTAATCTGAAATTGTTCCCCTTCCTTTATGCCTATGATACGTAGATTTGGTCTTTTCATGGTGTCCCACATCTCTTGTATATTCCATTCCTGTGTTTAAATTTTTCATAATCTTTGCTTGAGTGATCCAGTTCTTCATCTTTATCCTCCAGTGTTGATACTCTGTTTTCCATTTATTCATTCTAGTGTTTAGGCTTTCCCCTGTTGTTTCAAGTTGGCTTATTGAATTTTTCACTTCCTTCATTTCTGCCTGCATTGTCTACGATGTTTCTATCTCTTTTGTGAATTCATTCAGAAGTTTATCCCTATCTTCTTTTAGTTCTTTGATTTGTTTTTTCAAGTGTTCTTTAAATTGGTCGAATTGCTTGATCATATTTATGATTGTTCTTTTAAATTCTATGTCCTAGGTTATTTCTAGGGGGCTCTCCTTGTAGAACTCTTCTACAGGACTGGTGGAGTTTGATGGAGACATAGTGTTTTGGCTTTCCACTTTAGTATTCTTTCATTGTGATTTTGGCATGTGAATTTCTTTTGTTTGTGATTCTGACATGAGAATTAAGTTGAAGTATTCTTCTGTTTGTATTATTGGTGTGCGTTGGTCCTTTTCTTATTGGTTATGTACAGCTGGTTGGTCCAGGTTTCAAGTTCTCTCAGGTTTTATTTTGGAGGAAACTGATGGCTTCATATCAACTACTCAGGAGCACCCACAGAAGTCCATGTCTGGTTCCAGTCAGGTTCACTCTGGCTTCCTTCTAAGGTTTGCACACCTACTGCCGGGAACCCAGAGAAAAATTTCAGAAGTTCCCTAATTGGGGGCCAATTTTGGGTCTCTCAGGCGGTCTGCTGAGTTCTCAGCCCCTATGCCAGAGAAATGCCAGAACAAGCACTCTATGGCAGTCTGCTGAGATCACAGCTGCTACACTGATGGAGTTTGGAACCTGCCCTCTCAGGCTGTCTGCTAAGATCTGAGCCTTATCTTACCAAAGCCAGGTCTGCCCAGGGGCCTCACACAATCCCAGTTAGGGGGTTGGGTCTTGGTGCAATTAGGGGAAGCTCACTACCTTGTGGAGGCAAGATCCAGGTGCTCTGAGGCAGTCCCCTGCATTCTCAGCCCCTATGTCAGAGGGGGCCCAGAACATGCACTCTGGCAGTCTGTTGAGATCACAGCTTCTACACCGATGGAGGTAGGAACTGGCCCTCTCCTAAAGTACATTTTTTAAGACATGGTAAAATTTGCTTGAGAAAACCACTTGAAGACCCTCTCGAACCCTTGCTACTTCTCAATGCAAAGGGCAGAGGAGAACAGAGCTAGGCACATTAGTTTGTGCTACCTTGTTCTTAAGTATGAAGTATATAGGGAAATTCCTTTTACTTAATTCCATTTCATTAGCATCTTACAAATAGTGGTTTTGTTTTCTTATTTTTAGATTTAAGAAAAATTTTTTGAATTCTGGATTTCCTAAGCTTAGAGTGATAGTTCAGTGACCTTGAAAAAATTTCCACAGAGACATTTTAAGTTGTCAGCATTTATACTAACAATTTGTATGTCTTAAATTTTGACTTAATTTTATTTGGAATTTCTGTGAGTTTTCATTGAGAGTGTAGGAATGCTAGCCACAGAGCTTGAAGAAACTGGGGAATCTAGTCCCAAGGTGACCTTATAGGTCCCGGCCACACTTCACCCAGAACACTTTGATGATCCTGTATAGAGTCCCTTTAGTAATTAGAACTGTCCTCTGGATTCTCCTTCCCAGTGCCTCAGAGTCCTTGTCCTTAGCCAGCATGGCCTGCCTCCCTCTCTACTCCACTCAGAGTATGAAAACAAGAAGATGTGCTCCATATTTCCCAAATCTCTCCCTGGAGGTCTCACCTGACTTAAAGTCATTAAACCAAACTACAATTTCAGAAGGACTGTGTTACCCATGAGGCCCAGTTTGTGTCAAAAGTTGCCAACAACTGTTTTTTTTTTTTTCAATATAGGAAGGATCAGATGGATAGAACATTAAATGTTCCAATATTTGTTCTATGTTTTCAAGATTGTTATTCTCATTCATGTTAAACCATTTCTTCAATTAGATCCAGAAAGTTTATAACTCCATGCCCAAGAATTGTGAAGACAATGACATGACCTTAACATAAAATGAGAACTACAGTGATTCAGAGACCCATTCACATATGTATGCACAGGCATGTGTGCTTTGAAGTAGGCCTCCTTGGTCTGGGCAAAGGTACATGGAAATTACTCTGGGGCGTGAGTCTTCTGCAGCCCCTGAGCAGTCTAGTGGCCTGTCTTAGACTGCTTCTCCAGGGCTGTGATAAACATCATGACCAAAAGCAGCTTAGGGGAGAATGGTGTTGATTTCAGCTTACAGCTCTCAGATCACAATCCATCACTGAGGGAAGCCAAGGCAGGAACTTAAGGCAGGAATCTGGAGACAGGAACTGGAGCAGAGATGGTAGAGAAATGCTGCTCATTGTTTTGCTTCCCCTGGCTAGCACAGCTACCTTTCTTGTATAGTCCAGGCCCACCTGCCTAGGAATTACACTGTTCGTAGTGGGCTGGGATCCCCTGCATCAATTAGCAATCAAGAAAATGCCCCATAGACGTGTCCACAGACCAATCTAATGAGGAAATTCCTCAAATGAGGTTTCCTCCTCCCAGGTGTGTCATGTTGGGAACCAAGATTAGCCATCACATGACCTCCGCTAGGAGGATGGGCCAAATCGAAATGCACATGCAGCATCTGCCACAGCACTGCACTCTGCCAGCCCCAGCCATGTGATTTCTGAGCTCCCAGATTCACTGAGGCCTGCAGAGCATGTGGCTTCTCAGACTTCAGTGATGACATGGTTTCTCTCTGTTCTCTGTGTTCCACACCTTACCTTGGTGAGGTCAGACTTCACTTGATTCACATCCTGGTCTTAGCAGGTGCTGAATTCATTTTCTACAGAACTACAGCTTTGCCCTTGGACTTGCAAATCCAATTTCATATTAAAGGTCTGTTATCTGTTTCCCATTATCCATTATATCTTATCATTTCCCCTAAACAGAGCAAAGTCCACCACAAGCCAATTTTTTACACACCTCTTGATTTTGAAACAATCTTGTCTTCAAGGAAGTAGGCTGCAGGTAACTCCCAATAGGACATAGTCTTTGTGGAAGCCTTGCCACAGGACCACATCACAGGGTGACTTGAAAGGCCACTTGAGCTACCCTCTCACACCCGGACACATATGGGTAGAAACCTGGGTCAGGGTCAGAATCCTGGGACTCTGGCTGTAAAGATCTGGCCCTGGGATCCTTGTGTCCTGTGCAGGGTCTTACAGGATCCCTTTGGTCAATACCCTGTTGTCTCCTGGAAGCTGGAGCTGTGTTTGGTCCCTCAGAGCACATGCTTTCCCACTCTAGCGCACTCTAGTTGCCGAGCTCTGTGCTTTTGGCCACTGAGATGGTTAGTGCGAAAGTTCTGCCTGCGACTGCCCTCCGTGGAGCTAGGGGCCCCTCAGATTGCAGTGCACTGTGTCTAGTTCCCGTGTTTACTGTCACAAACATGGCCAAAATATTAAACACAGAAATCACTTACTACTGTCTTCCCTTGTCTTGGGGTCGGTCCTATTTCACCATGCCAGTAAAGGAGAGAATACCATCTCTTGTTTGGTTTGCTTTTTTTAGATTGGCCAGAATTTTCTTCCAGTGATTGGTGCTAACTCTTGCGTTGGGGATGCCTATTTTTCTTTTTGGCAGTCTGAGTCTCCCAGAAATTCGGGGCTCCTGTTGCCTAGAGACAGACGCTGAGAGATGGAGGGAGCATTGCATTCCACTATCTGACCTCTCTTCAAGAGCACTGCCCCAGGAGGAGGAGGGAGAGGGGGAAAGGAGGAGGAGGGAGAGGGGGACAGGAGGAGGAGGGGAGAAGCGGGAGGAGGGAGTATCTTGCTCTAGGTACTATGCAGCCGAGGCTGAGTGACACCTAAGTCCTCCTAGTCCTGGGGCGGGGGTTGGGGTGAGGGAGGTTGGTTTAGAGATCCCGGCAGAGAGAGACGTAGGAAAGGGCGGTGCCTAATCAGGCGTGCAGAGGAGGAGCGGCTCGGGGGAGAAGAGGGGCGGAGCCAGGCAAGGAAAGGCAGGGCTCACCTAGTCTCCACTACTTCCCTCGAAGTGCACAAGGGTAAAGTTCCTGCTTTGCTCCGCTGAGGCCCGCCAACACCATCGCAAGCACCAGCACCATGCCCATGACACTAGGTTATTGGGACATCCGTGGGGTGAGAGAGGAATCTGACAGCCAAGCAGGATGGTGACGAGGGGCGGGAATCTGCTGAGAATTTGGAGCCTTTCTAAGACATGGGTCCTCTTTCCAAGGGCTTTCTGGATTTTAAATCCTTCTCCACGCGTTCTTGAGAGCCTGCCCTCTCCGTGTGTGTGTTGTTAGAGGTCAAGTGTGGGGGCACAAATGGAGGAGGCGAGGTCACATAGTCAGGGTCGGAGTGCATTTCTGACTTCTGCCACCTGCCATCTCCCCTAGTTGTGTCACGCCATCCGCCTGCTCCTGGAATACACAGACACAAGCTATGAGGAGAAGAGATACACCATAGGGGACGGTAATGATCGCTTCTTGATCAAACTCCTGCCCAACGTCTTCTGGTTGGTCCTCAGGAACCTTGCCTGGCCCCATATTGCCCAGCTCTGTAGGCCTTTTCCTGCTGGAAATAGTCTATGTGTTCCAGAAATCTCCATGAAGGCAGTTTAATCTTCCAGTGCAGGGCTCTGAGTCCCCCTCTGTCTTCAATTTAACACTTGCCCAAACCTTTTGTAAGCCACGATCATTGTAAGAGCTCTTCAGTTCTGTAGCCTTGGAATGTGAGACTCAGCATGTCAGACTGAAGATCCCCTGTCTCAGGAGGTCTTGGAATGTGAGACTCGCATGTCAGACTGAAGATCCCCTGTCTCAGGAGGTCTTGCCCCAGGCTCCTTGGATGGGTCTCGAAGGAAGGAGGGTGGGACACTGGAGTGATTTCTTTTTCACATCATCTTGTTCACTGCAGCTCCTGACTATGACAGAAGCCAGTGGCTGAGTGAGAAATTCAAGCTGGGCCTGGATTTTCCCAATGTAGGTACAGGGAAGGAGTGGTTTGGAGGGAGGAGAAGGTGATGGTGTCCCACCTCATCTCCTTGCCCAGCTTCTCTCTCCTGCTCCATTTGATGCTTCTCTCTCCTGCTCCGTTCCTGGTGGTCTGCACTGTGTTCTTGTGATGGACTATGTCCCAGCTCTTGCACTCAGTGTGCAGTGTATTCATGGAGGGCTTCCCATGCCAGGCACACTGAGTGGCAGGCTCCATGTCTGTTCAAAACCCAGGGAAGGTATTCTGAGACCCTGTATCATATCTGACTGCCCCTCCTTGTCCATTCAGCTGCCCTACTTAATTGATGGGCCAACCAAGATCACCCAGAGCAACGCCATCCTGCACTACATCGCCCGAAAGCACAACATGTGTGAGTGGGGCTGGCTGCAGGGTGGGGACAGTGCCCATCCCCCTGGGCTTGGCTGGGATGGGCTGCTGAGGGTGAGTCTGTGCTGTGTGTGCTGCAGGTGGGGAGACAGAAGAGGAGAAGATCCGTGTGGACATTTTGGAGAACCATGTCATGGATACCCGCCTGCAGTTTGTCATGGTCTGCTACAGCTCTGACTTTGTGAGTCCCTCACTGGGTGGAACAGAGTGTTTGGAGCAGGAGTGAAAGTCTTGTGTTCATATCTACATTGGTCTGGTTTGTCATTTGACTCTTGCAGTACTGATTCTCTTAAAAAACTGTCCGTCGCAGCATCAAACTTGCCTTCATGATTCCAGAATCTTACCAAATAACCACTCTGAGTCAGTTACCACCAATCCCAGGGTATAGCTCATATTCTACAAGTTAGAAATACAGTTCTTAGATATTAGAGTTTGTGTTCCGGGTCCCTTGAATCAACTTAGATCTTCAGCTTCCATAGGCACTCTGTTCCAGCTGTTCATGTCATCTGTCTGCTCCTGGACTATAAAGACTCAAACCATAAGTAAATGAAGTAGATGGGGTTATGTTAGGTGTTCATGCCATGTCAGACATCTGCTCATCTGTTTCCACAGAGCTGTATCTTTAACGGCAGCAGAAATCAGGACCTTTCCTAATAGGAAGCTTAGGATCAGCCAGAGGATCACTGTCCCTTCTCCTCCCTTTCTACATCTAAGACTCCTCCACATAATAGAAAGTGCTCAACTATCCACTTGTGTTTCCTTTTGAGATCTTTGAGTACTTTGCTTCCTTAATTCCACCAGACATCCAAGGCCAGAGTGTGAGTCAGAGGTACTCAGGCACTTCTGAGTCTGACCCACAGGTTCTGGTTTTGGGACTAAGTAGTAACAGGTTCAAGGATATATTCCTGTTTGACTTTCCATCATTTCCAACACATAGGACCCGGTACCTGTAGGAGTTTAATCAATGGTGATGTATTAATTTAAAAGCTGAACACTGACCCAAGCCCAGTTTCAGAAAGGTGGCTGCTCCAGGGTGTCTGAGGGTGGTAACAGCTGTTTTCTGCCTCAGGAGAAACAGAAGCTGGAGTACTTACAGGGCCTCCCTGAGAAGATGAAGCTCTACTCCAAGTTCCTGGGGAAACGGCCATGGTTTGCAGGGGACAAGGTAAAGGGGAGGGAGGGAAGGAGGGGGATTTGCTGTTCTTCCCAGAATTCCTGTTCCATCCCACTCACCCTCTGCTTCCCGCAGATCACTTTTGTGGATTTCCTGGTTTATGATATTCTTGACCAGCAACGCCTGTTTGAACCCAAGTGCCTGGATGCCTTCCCAAACCTGAAGGACTTCATGGCCCATTTTGAGGTGATGCCCTGATCCTCCTTCCTCTTGGGTGCCCTTCTTCCCTTCCTTCTTTCCATGGTAATCCTAATCTTGTGGGTTAAAAGAACATTTAGCATTTATTGAGCACTGGCTTTCTGTCAGGGCCTGTGCTCAACATCTTCCATCTATAGGAACAAAGTTATCACTGCAAAGTGGATAAAATTATGAGTCCCATTGGAGAGATAAACTGAGGCTGGAGGGTAAGTCACTAGCCTCATCTCTGTGTGGGCCTCTGGTTTCTATGGGCAACACTTAGTGGCTCTTCCTATTTTGTGCTGAAAGGAAAAGCTGCAGGCCCTTGCATAACCTGGATTTCCTGGCCAGGACCCTTTTGGGAGGTAGAGCATATCAGGAGTGTGTAAACAGCTGGCATTAGACATTACAAAGGTGAGGGACAGTGGGATTCATGTGAAGTACCACGTATGTTGTCCAGGGCTCTCTTCTTTGACACCCCCAACATCTGCTTTATTAGGAATTTGATAATTAGAGGCATCAATTTCATGGGCTTTTGGGCCTGGAATCTGTTTTTCTTCTCTACTCTCCTTTAAACAGTGTGTTTTCTCAGAGAGTTCTCATCAGCTCTGGTTCTGGGCCAACTTGAGTGACCTTGGGGATTATGCAAGAGCTTATATCACTCCGGGGAGGGAAGCAGTGGGGCTGAAAGTTGCAGCCTGAGGTCTGGCGTGCCTGGCTTGTTGGGCTCATGCATTCCCAGATCTCTCTGAATTTTGTAACAATTACCTCAGAACTCAAACTTGGCAAGAATTCACATAGTACAACTGATTGTCCTTTAGCATGGTCCTTATATTTAGGGCTGGAGGTAAGTTTGCCTGGGGCTTGGTAATATTGGACTCAGATTCCAGGTGGAGAAATTTGGACCTTATGCCTCAAGGAATGAATCAGAACCCTGCTCTGCCTTTTCTTGTGGGGCTTCCTCCATCTTGGACACTTTCACTCAAGATTTGTTGAGTCCCTGGGTGAGAGCCAAGCTACTCTGCCATGTTCTATGAAATCCTTTTTCCTGCGAGCTCATTCCTCTGTGTGCAAATACACAGGCAAGAACGTCCCTGGAAAAGGAGCGTGTCTGCAGACAGTGATAGGGTCTCCTCAGGAAGGACAGGAGGGGTGTGGACAGAGAGCGCACAGAATGGTAACTGCAGAGCCAAGCTAACCCCTCTGACTGGCTGTGTGACCAGGAGGAATTACTTACCCTGTCTGGACTTCAGGTTCCCTTCTGATATCTTGCAGGCTTGTTGAGTGGGTTTTCTAAACCTATGATGTACTGTCTAGAGGACACAAAGCCCTCAGGGTAGTTTTCAGTTTATCCATGTGCTATCCTCCTTAAGGTGGGACACTAGATAAAGGAATTGAAGGGTTCCCTTTCCAGAGCAAGGGTCATTGCTGTGCCCTAGCTCTTGAGTCCATGCGGAGTTTTTAGAATAGAGCTGTGCAGCCAGTGGGAGTGCAGACCTGAGCTATCGCTTTCTTCTTCCCACTCACAGGGACTGAAGAAGATCTCTGCCTACATGAAATCCAGCCGCTTCCTTCCAAGCCCTGTGTATTTGAAGAAGGCTCTATGGGGTAACAAGTAGGACCCTCTGATGCCAAGACTGGGAGGAGGACTCTGTGGCTGTGCTTGCTCATCCTTGGCCTGGGGGAGCAGCTTGGTCCCTGCACCCCTCATCAGTCTTCTTATTCCGTCCCCTTCTAATCCCTTCTCCTCTGAGAGGCCTTAGCAACCCCTCTCTTCTACTTAACCTCTCTCCCAACCGAGCCTTCAGTGGAAGTCCCTCCTTCTCCTTCCTTGCCCTGCTTCTGAATCCATGCAGCCCTTGGCTATGCTGGAGGTGAGGGTGAGATGTTCTCAACTCTGTGTTCGTCAGCACCACCAGAGAGAATAATCCTGCCTATGTGTGGATACCAGTCTTCAGTGTGGAGCTGCCCAGAATTGCCAAAAAGACTAGTGCCCCGGGGTTCAGACCCTGGTTTCTAGTATGGAACTGTGTTTCCCTGTCTCATCTCCAGTAAAGTTTGAACCACACTTGTTCCTGTGTCTTGTCTTATTGCCAGTAGATGTCAGGACCGACCATGTTGACTCGGTTGGGTGATCTTTGTTCTGTTGTCCACAGCAGAGGCATGGTGATGGGGATAGGGGGCGGCTTTTGGTGGTCAGACAAAGCATAAGATCATTTAGTCTTTGATGTCCCCTATGAACCCTGTGTTGCCCACCCTGGGATTCCCACAAGAGGATTCTTCCTGTGTGCCTGGGTTCCTCATTCATTCAGCAGCCACAGTGCCGTCATCTACAGAGAGGTTCTGGGCTGATAGAAACGGGGCTCCACAGGCCAACCACCTTTTGTCCTTTACTTCCAGAAGCCTTCACTGAGCTGGGCACTTCTCCTCTGTGTTCTCAGGATGTTTCCCCATAAACATTCCCCACTGTCTGCAGGTGGTGTTGGGGGTGTTTTACTCAACTCCATCAAAAGTTGTTTGAAGGGCAGATGTAGGTCTTATTGCACTTTTTTACCACTCATATCTGTGAGCAAGCCTGGCATATCATGCAGGCAATCTGGGAATTGTAAAGAATTGTGCTCAGCAATGCTTTTGTCAGACTGTACAGCTAGTACCAGGATTCAGAGCTCTGGGTTATTATTTTAGCCTAAGGAGATGTAGAATGAGGTGCAGGTTTTCCATGGTCAAGTGTTAAAGTCTGAGCCAGAGTCTCTCACCTGAGTATTTCAGAGGCTCCAAAGGCTCCAAATGCCCTTAGACGAGTGTAACCTGGGATGAGCGGGCTAGTTTGCTGGGTGTCAGTGCAGCAGTGTGTGATCAACCATGCTGTGGGCATTTTGTAGCAGCTCACCAGCAGAAGAGCTGGACTCACTGGAGAAGCATTGCTGAATAGGTTCTTGGACAGGTCAGATCATGCATTGGTCTTGGTCAGCACTACACGTGACCTACATATAATATGGAGCAAACCTGGAGGCAAGCCCTGCTGGGCATTGTCCTTATACCAGTTAACAGATGCTACCTGCTACAGTTAAGAAACAAGGGTGAGACATTGTGTAAGGGTCATTAGGAGCTAAATAATTAAAACTATGAAACTAGCTGGCTGTGGTGGTCTACACCTTTAATTCCAGCATGAGGGAGGCAGAGGCAGACAGTTCTACGGGAATTAAAGGCAACCCTGGTCTATATAGGAAGACCCCATCTAACCAAAAAAGAAAAGAAAAAAGAAGAAACTGATAAGATGAAAGGTCACAGATGCTAAAAATTTATGAAACTGGTAAGATCAAAATTATTTAGGCCATAGGTTTACTAAATTTTAAAGACAAATGAAATAAAAGTAAAAAGGAACCAGGACTAAGGCACAGGTCAGTGGTAGAGCATTTCCATAGCATGCATAAAGGACCTGGGTTCAATCCCACAACCATAAAAAATAAAATAATAATAAAAAGAAAAAAAAGTAATGGACGTTAGGCATGACACTGTAGTAAAAGTTAAGTAGAGAGAACAAAAATACTAAACCAGACTAAGGAGGACATGCCTGGAACAGAGCTACAGACATTTCCCGTGACAGATCAGTATGAGAAGCTGAGTGGTGATCCGGTCTCCATCACGTTCCCTCCTCCCCTAGAAGTAGCCATAAATTGAACATAATGAATGGATGGAGTTTATTCCAATGGAACTGTATTTGCAAACATGTGGCCAAAACCACCACAAAACCCAGACATCACTATTCAGTAATGGGCCAAAGACTAAAGCAGGCGTTTCTCTAAAATCTACATAAAAATGCCAGCAAGCATTTGAAAAATCATGAATTGTTAATTGTTAGAGACAGGTAAATCAAAGCTAGAACAAGGTTCTATTTAATACACTAGGCTGGCTACTATGAAAATTCAGAAAATGAAAAAATTTGGAGATGATGTAAAGAAATTAATACTTTTCCCACCATTGATGGGAATGGATAATGGTAGTTCCTCAAAATAATAAAATAGAGAAAAGAAGATGCTACTTCAGTGTGTGTCCCCAGCAGTTATCTCTCCACAGTCACACCAAATGGAACAGCTATTCGTGCATAAAATGGTTCCCAAGAGCTAAGAAAGCCAAGTGAGCAATGGCAGCACATACCTGTAAGCCCAGCACTTGGGAGAGTGAGGCAGGAGTATACTAAGTTCCAAATCAGCCTGAATTACTCAAGACCCTTATCTACCCCATGTCCCCAAAAGAGCCAGGTGTGAAGTCACAATGGCTGGTTTTAGTACATGAAAGAAAAAAGACATATTGAAGAAGGCAGGAAGAGCAGCGTTGCCCTTGTTAGCCCTTGCCAAGCTCTGAGCAGTATGGAGGAAATACCTCCCACAAATACCACTCACAAGGTGAGGATCTTTGGACTGGGACTGTGCTAGCGGGAGTGTTGAAGGACTGCCTTCACCACATTCCTCCACTTGGAGCAGAGAGGAAGCAACACTGCCCTTTCTGGGGCTGTACCTTGGAGCTCAGTGCTGGACCTGCTCTGATGAGACCTAGCATCAGCCAAAAGCCATAGGCCCCTTGGCCCAGGCCAGGTATCAAAGACAAAGCCTCTAGACCTGCCTTGGCTCTGGGCAGAATTCCTTTTGCTAATGGAATAGGTAGTTTGGGCCTGTATCATTGCCAGTCTCAGAGTAGACCTGGGGCGACCCTTTCACCGAGACTGTGTAGGTCACTGATCCTGAAAGACTCTGGTATGACTGAGCTTAGTGTTACCCTTGGAGGCCATGGGGCTGCTTTCACCAACATGAAGTGGCACAGGACTCCATTCTCTGGGGCTGGAATGGGTAAGCTAGGGTTTTGTCTTGGAAATCGGTGCCAGGCTAGGGGAACCTAAAACTGAGCAGGTCCTACTGCCCACCTCTGTTCCTTTGGGCTACTGCCCAGGGATGGAACCCCATAGAACAGCCTCGGCATCAGGCCCCAGTCTATTGGACTTCTTTTATGGCTAGCATCACTTGTGATTGGTTGTAGGGATCTTGAGTCATGAGCTCACCTCAGCAGTAAGTAGCCAATAGCACTGTAGATCTTGGGCCTCCCTAAAGTTGTGCTGTTCAACAGGCTGTGAGCTCAAGGTGTGGCACAGAACTGCTGCACTGGTGGCTGCAGGTGTGGTATAGGAGCCTGGGTCTAGTCCCTCCATGGAGATTCTGCCAAGAGCCAGGCAGAATCTTACAGTTCCTGAATGTGGTGGCTCTGAATGAGCATCTGGCCATACCCTGACCCCAGAGAGAGACTGGTGGCAATGCACTACTCTTCTAGGTACTTCCCTAGTTCATGCTGAACATGGAACTGCAGATTTAATACAAATCAGGGCTTTGATCTCCCTCCAGCGGTCAACCAGCAACAACATCTGAATGATGACCTCATGAAACCTGGACTTTGGTCACCATCTATTGCTGAAACACAGGCTCAGGGTTTAAACAAAAAGGGACCTGCGTAGAATTTCTGGGAATATTGCCATAAATAAAGCCAGATTGCAAACACTAGAATAAATATCTAAACCTTTAATGTCCAGAGGATATCACATAGCAGCAAGAACTTTAAGGAGCCACAACTTTACCTGACATTCAAGGAAAGATACCATAAACCAACCATACAGTAGCAAGTATAAGTAAACTCTTACTTGGAAAATGAAAACAGTCGTTTTCAGGAAATGAAATGAACATGAACATAGGAGAGCAATACTCTAAGACGAAAACTTAACTGAAAGGTGGGAGCCATCAATTTTTAAAAAGTAAATGTGAGTTGAAAAAAACAAAGGCCAAATTTTAAATGCCATAGAAGGCATCTGTAGCAGAACGGATGAAACAAAAGAATTAGTGAACATAAAGATAAGCTACTTGAACATACATAGTCAGAAGAGAAAAGAGAAAAGAATGAAGAGAAGTGAGTAAATGCAGGGGAACTTTGGGGCAGCATTAAAAGAACAAGTATTTGAATTGTTGTCACTCAAGAGGAGCTTGGCAATGACAAAAGTTTAGAAAGCTTATTCAAAGAGGAAATGCCACAGAACTCCCCAAACCTGGAGAAAACACACATATCCAGGTATCAGATGGTCAAAGAACATCAGTCTGGGCCAGTAAGATGGTTCAGTAGGAAAGGACACTTGCTGCTAAGCATGACCACCAGAGTTGGATCCCCAGAACCCACATGGTGGAAGGAGAGAAATGATGTCTGCAAAGTTGTCTTCCACTTTCACATATGTGCTATGTTCCCGGACAAACAAAACTTGAGAGGTTACATATCCAACAGACTTGTCTGACCAAAAAGTCCAAGGGAGTTCTTAAATGAAAAAAAAGAGAGACCCCTTAATGAGTAAGAAGAAAACATTAAAAGGTAAAAACTGATTGATGAGAACAACTATAAAACAAATTAAGAAGCTCTAACACCGTAAGTCTGGTATGAAAACCTTATCTTTAATATGAAAAGTAAAAAGCAAAACAATTAATAATTATTATATTAATATGTTAATATATAGGAAATATAAGAAGATGCAAAATGAGGAGGCTAGAGAGATGGCTCAGTGGTTAAGAGCTCATCCTACTCTTCCAGAGGACCTGGGTTCAGTTCCCAGCACCCACATTAGGCAGCTCACAATCACCTGTAACTCCAGTTTCAGGGACTCTGGCACCCTCTTTTTGGTCTCCACAGGCACCGCCTGCACACATGTGGCAGATACACAGACACACATAGACACACAAATAAAAGCAAATCTTTAAAAAATTTTCAAAATGTGGAGGGAATGGAATGCAAGTGTATAGTTTTTTAAGGTATATTTTCTCTATTTTCTTTCTTTGTTTCTTTTCTTTATGATCATATTATGTTGCTACCATTTCAAAATAGTTATTATAATAAAAAGATGAGTTTTATAAGCCTCATGGTAGCCATAGACAAGTATCAACAATAGAGAAACTCAAAATAATAAGCAAGGAATCAAAATACACTACTAAAACAAGCCACTTAACCACAGAGGG